CATGTGGATGAGAGTAAGCTGAATCCAAGAGCAAACAAGGGTGTTTTGTGAATTTTGGAGATAGAGTTAAGGGATTTCGAGCCTGGTCACCTTCTGAACATAGAGTTATACTTAGCATGATTGTGATATTTGATGAGATGTCTATGTTTAACCTCATGTTGAAGGTTACTATTGTTGGAGATAGCAAGAATGTTGATAAACAGGTGCAGATGCAAACTCTCAAAGAGAGTGAGTTTGAGAACCAAGGTGGAGAATAGGGGTGGTAATCGGTAAACCGGTATTCGGTAATACCGGATACCGTACCGGATATCGATACTATCGGTATCGGTATTCGGGCGTGTGATTTTACATTCGGTAATACCGGATAAGAGTTGGTAGTTATCGACGGTATACTGGTATACCGTAATACCGATTATTATAAAAAAAGGAAGGCAAAACGCGGTGCACAGGCTGAAGTGTTTTGGCGGATTGAATTTGGGGGCTCTGCCGCGTCGAGCAACCCAACAGCAACCCTAAAATTTCTCAATCCATCGTTGCCATCCCTCCCCTCTCGCCTTCCTCTGAGGCGCAACTCTTCTCTGAGCCGCCGCCTCCCCAGCAGCGCGCCCCGCCGTCGCCCCCAGCAGCGCGCCGCCGCGTCCAGCAGCCTCCTCTTCCCTTCTCTCCATCCCGAAAGGTCCATCCCGACGGTATTCGACGCGAGACCCAGCAGCTGCGATCCACACCACGTCTTCCTCTTCTCTTCACCAGGCAGCAACCGCCGGCCGCCGCTTCTTGAAGCCAACGGCAGGGTTCGCTGAGCTCAAGCTCGAAAGACGAAACCCGTGACCCTAAGGCAGACCCCTGTCTTCCTCTTCTCTTCTCTTCACCAGCAGCATAGTAGCATGTGAGATTCTAATTGTTTGTGAGAAGTAGCATGTGTGATTGTGTGAATTAGATGACTTAGATGATTGAATATAGAGCTCACTTCAGTTTGTAATGCATACGACATTATTTAGTCTACTAATACATATAATATGCATCAAGCAGCAACTGCTCTGCATATCTTTTAGTGTTAGAAGAATCTTTATACCTTAACTCCTTAAGCTTATGAACCAAGGGAATTTAAATGGTCCCTAATAACTTCTTCTCTCTGTCGGGCTAATGCAGTACAAGTTGGCCACTCCAATCTTCTTCGCTCATGTTAGTGTCTCTGTTAGGGACAACATTGTATGTAGAACGAGTGACATTTAGAGAAAATAGGTTGGTTTCGCTGCAGCTAGTTATGCATTATGGTTTTGGGTATGCATTACAAACTATTCGGTATACCGGTATTAATACCGGATACCGACTATTCGGTATTTGGTATACCGGATAACATTCGGTATCGGTATTCGGTGGGTACACTGTCTGTTTCCGGTATACCGAATACCGGTTAATCGGTATCCGGTACCGGATACCGACCTATTACCAGCCCTAGTGGAGAAGATCAACATGTTGAGGATGTTTCTGATGAGCTAGAAACATCAGAGTCCAGTGCGGGAGCTAAACAGTCTATAGCTTACGGTAGACTGAAGAGAGCGACTGTTGGAGTACCTCCACAGAGGTATGGCTTTGAGGACATGGTGGCGTATGCTGTGGATACGGGTGAACCATAGTCCTACAAAGAAGCAGTTTCGTGTGGCGAAGCCGCGCAGTGGCTTGCTGCAATGGGGGATGAGACGAAATCCCATGACAGGAATCAGACTTGGGAGTTGGTCAAACGTCCACAGGGGATGAAGATTGTTACAAACAAATGGATCTACAAGAAGAAGAAGAAGGAAGGAATCACTTTTGAAGAGGGCATTAAATTTAAAGTTCGGGTAGTTGCAAGAGGCTTCTCGCAGAGGGAAGAAGTTGACTACAACGAGATTTTCTCACAGTGGCCAGACACACTTCGATCAGGGTGTTGTTAGCAATAGTGGCACATTTTGACTTGGAACTCGAGCAGCTAGACGTGAAGACAGAATTTCTACATGCAGAGTTGGAGGAAGAAATTTACATGACTCAGCCAGAAGGATTCCGGGTTCCAGGAAAATAAGACTATTTTTGTAAGATGAAGAAGTCCTTGTATGGACTTAAGCAATCTCCGAGGCAATGGTACAAGAGGTTTGACAGCTACATGCTTGAGTTGGGCTACAACAGAAGTACCTATGATTGTTCTGTATATCACAACAAGGCAATGAATGGTTCAATGATATATCTAGTTATGTATGTGGATGATATGCTCATAACTACGAGGTCGAAGTCTGATATCCAGAGGGTAAAGGGGATTCTTAGTGCTACATTTGAGATGAAGGATTTCGGAGCTGCTCAAAAGATTTTGGGTATAGAGATTTACATGGATAGGTCAAAGAAGAAGCTTTTCTTGTCACTGAAGATCTACATCCAGAAGATACTGTCCAGGTTTGTCATGTCTTCCGCAAAGCCCTTGAATACTCCTAGTGCTTCGAATGTTCATCTATCCCCACTTTATGCACCACAGTCAAAGGATGAGAAGGAGTACAAGTCGAGAGTCCCATATGCTAGTGCAGTTGGTAATTTGATGTACGCTATGGTATGCAGTAAACCTGATCTTGCACATGTTGTTAGTGTTGTTAGCAGGTTTATGATAAAACCTAGAAAGGAGCATTGGCAAGCTGTGAAGAGGATTTTCCGATACCTTAAGGGTACATCTGATGTGGGGATTAGCTTCGGAAGTGATACAGAGTGCTTAGTGGCTAGTTATTCCGATTCTGACTATGCTGGAGATGTTGACACGAGAAGATCGATGGTCGGTTATGTACTCACTCTTGCGAGTTCTGTAGTGAGCTGGAAGACAACTCTGCAGCCGACGGTGACATTTTCTACTACTAAGGCAGAGTATATGGTGTTGAAAGAAGCTGCTAAGGAGGGAATATGGTTGAAGGGACTGGTTGGTGATATGGGTCTACATCATGATCATGAAGTGGTGTATTGCAACAGTTTGAGTGCAATATGCTTGGCCAAGGATCAAGTCCATCATGAGAGGACTAAACATATCGATGTGAGGTATCATTTCTTGAGGACAGAGAAGAGGATTAAGATGAAGAAGGTTGGCACCGCGGATAACCCTGCTGACATGTTCACGAAGCCGGTTCCACATGGCAAGTTCCAACATTGCTTGGACTTGTTGAATTTCTTGAGTGGATGAATCCGCCCTATGGGGCATTGATGGCAGGAGGGAGAGAAAGATCAAAGTACATCAGAGATTTCAGAGGAAGAGGATTCAAGTCAAGGTGGAGATTTGTTGATGTGACTTGAATCAGACTATCAGTCGCTACGAATGGAAGTCACGGGGGTTTCGCTGGTATTTGGGGCATCGCCCTCGGCCCATGGTGTATGGGCTCAATGTTATTTGGGTTCGGGTTCTAGGCTTGGTTGTAACCGCTTTTCCTTTACCAAATTGGATTAGGGTTAGACTTAGGAGAAGTACTATAAATACTTCCCATACTCCTCTGCAATCTGTATCTCCTTGAATTACAGTGAAACTAGCTCTGTCCTGCCTGTGGACTAGCTAATACACATTTGTGTTAGTGAACCACGTAAATCGTGTATTGTGTGTGCTTTCGTTTTCTTGCTTTGTCGAATCCTCCAATTTCCCGATCTGCAGAAGCAACAGTCGTGACAAGTGGTATCATAGCCTAGTTCGATTCGGGGCAGTGGACATCAGTTTGGTGGGACCCTCATTCGGTGACCTCAGATTTTGAGATCTGCGTCAATTTGGTGGATCTAGGAGAGATCCAGGTTTGGGTTTGCCAAATCAAAGAGAGTTTTGTATATGGGAAGCAGATCAAAGAGAGTTATGCGTTTGGAAAAATCATTGTACTAAGAAGCCCATCGATATAAGGTGTCCGGCAGATCAAGATAATCCCTGAGGTGAGGACACGAAGTTCGCGGACGTTGTCTTGAGGGGAGGATTCAAGTTGTAACTGCTGATAGTTCGATTCAAGTCACATCAATAGAGCGCTTTGCTGTCTATGCTATTCTGGTGAGGTGGTTCTCCCTTTTTTGTAACTGAGCATGTTAGACAGACGACTGGGGGGTCTCCCTCGTAAGAGGAAGCCAGAGAGTGTAGGAGCTTAAGATACAAGAGTGGAGGGAATTGGAATTGATTGAGTGTGGGAGCTTAGAATTTTATGGTATCAAGGAATGAAAATATTATTTTTTTGTCTCCTATAATCTGGTCTAGATGTCGATTTGATTCAGTGTAGACCAATCTGTTTCACTACTTCCTCTTTCTGAATCCAAATCATTCCACCATTAAAAATAAAATCCAATTAATTCCCCATTATTACCACAATGAGAGAAAACAATTGCATTCAAATTTAATGACCACTAAGCCAAAACAACTGGAATGTATGCCTAAAATCTCGATCACTAAATTGCGAAATAAGTTGATATCCACTCAATGAATAAATACACTTGAATAACTTTGAGCTTGATAAAAAATTTAAAAAAAAATTCACATTAGAGAAAATTTGTGCACCAAAAAAAATGCTATTTACACTACTAAAAAGCTGTGAACCAAAAAAAAATAATAAATAAAATTCTATCATAAAAGAACGAGGGAAAAGCTTCGTATTTTTAGAATATTTAACCAACTCCGAGTATTGAGAAACATTGACTAACATTTTCTCCCTCCTCCCCTTCTCCTCTTCTTCCCTTTCTTATTCTCCCTCACATTATAAAAACATAAGTCTCATCTTCCATCAAGAGTAAGAAAAAAATTCAAATAAACAGCAAAAGCAGTATAGGGGTCAATTCCCCACACAATAATTTAACAAAAAATTGTAAGGAAAAACCCGACTTTTTCCATCGAAGTATCTACAAATAAAAACCTTAATCACATATAAAACAAACAGAAACCCAACCAACTTTTATCCCATTTGTTCCATTATCTTCTCCTCTTTGTTAAGATGGGCGATGAAAACAACAATAAGAGGAAGATAATAACGAAGAAGATGGTCATAACGGCCTTCTCTTCCATCCTCTTAGTTGCCATGGGGTTCTTTGCGGGTGTTGCTTATAGCAACAACAAGATCTCTAAAGAAACCGACATCTCCACAACCAGTCGAGTTGACAGTGCTGCGCCTGCAGGGCCTGTGCCACAAGTCATACAAGACTTATGCGCCCCATCCCTCATAAAGGATTATTGTCAATCCGAAATGATGAAATATGGGGGTACCATGACCGACCCTAAAGAGTTGGTAAAGCTAAGTGTGCAACTAGTATCCCATTCTTTGCAACTTGCACTGAAGGACGCCGAGCCCCTAAAGGCGACCACTATGGAGCCCATGGCAAAGCGGGCCTTGGAGATCTGCGACATCAAGATCAATACCGCTATGGGAGACCTAAACCGATCTGTGACTGAGATAGACAAGTTCGAGCCTGCCACGGGTGAGAAGCAGATCGACAACTTGAAAACTTGGATTGAGGCTACCCTCACCTTTCAGGAGGTCTGCATCGACGCGTTCTCTAATATCACTGGCCCCGACGGCCACAAGATGAGGATGATCCTGCAACTTTCTGGCATGGCAGCCTGCAATAGCATGGCCGTAATTGAGGGATGGACAAAATTACTGGAGAAGACCAACCCCGTTCCTGGGGCAGCACACCGAAGGCTTCTTGGAGGTGGAGCGTCGAATAAGAATGATTTCCCTGAGTGGGTTTCACCGACCCAGAGGAAGTTGTTGCAGGCGACGCCAAGTAACATTAAACCGGACATTGTTGTGGCTCAGGATGGGAGCGGGCAATTCAAGACTGTAAATGAAGCCATCAAGAGCATTGGGCCCAACTATAAAACCCCCTTCGTTATCTATATCAAGGCTGGGGTTTATAATGAGCAAGTCATTGTTCCAAACGCGCTTAGTGGGATTATGTTTATCGGTGACGGCCCGACAAAGACTAAAATCACCGGCAACAAGAATTATAAGGAGGGGTATCATACCCAAGATACCCCCACGGTTGGTACGTATTTGATTTGATCCATATGCATCTAGTAAGACTTCATTTGGCAGTCTCGATTGGATACTAACGCTCGTTAATTTCTCATCTTGTGAACAGCGATAATGGCCCCAGGATTCATGGCCAAAGACATGGGGTTCGAGAACACAGCTGGGCCTGAAGGCTTCCAGGCCGTCGCTTTTCTCTCTCAATCCGATTACTCTGTCTACTACAACTGCCAATTCGATGGCTACCAAGACACCCTATGCCCTCTAGCCTATCGTCAATTCTACCGTGATTGTGTCATCTCTGGTACCATCGATTTCATCTTTGGTGTCGCTCGCACCGTCATCCAGGGCGGCACCCTTGTTGTCAGGAAGCCCATGGATAACCAGCAAAACGTCGTGACTGCAGAGGGTCGTCAGGACCCCAATGGTGTGTCAGCAATCGTAATCATGAACAGTCACATCACGGCCGACCCGGCCTACTTGCCCGTCAAGAACCAATTCCCGACATACTTGGGGCGCCCGTGGAAGAATTTCTCTAGGACCGTGATCATGCACACCGTGATCGACGACATAATCACCCCCGCGGGGTGGGTCCCGTGGGATGCGCGGTGGGGGCTTGACACTCTCTACTATGCGGAGTTTGAGAACACGGGCCCTGGTTCCAACACGCAAGGCCGAGTCACTTGGCCTGGGATTAAGCACATTACACCGCAAGAGGCCGAGCAATTTACCCCGGTTAAGTTTTATGCCGAAGGCGATAGTTGGATCAAGGATGCTAATGTACCCTACACTGCCGGAATGTCGTAACTATTATTAACCAATTTTGAAAGGAAAAAAATTTGAAAAATTGTTTTATTTTATTGATTTCTTATTTGGGTGATGTAGAAAAAAAGAGGTAAAGAAGTTTTTTTTTTTTTTTGCATGGTGGTGATTAAATTGATCGTCATCATGGAGTGGATCGAAGGTATAACAGGTGATCATATGTATTATTTTATTTTTGAATTCATAGTCTTGGACTCATATGAGCTAATAAAAGGGAAATTTTGTATTTATAGTATTTCTAATTTTTATATAAATTTGTTACCTTTGAGGGGTTGTTGATATTTGATAATATTAATAGGTTAACACTTAACATTACTTTGTGATTCTGAACTTTCTTCCTCTTGTGATCTTCACTCTTTAGTCTTCGGCGTTAAAATTAGTCTCATTTGGTTGAGAGGTAACTTGGTTTCCTCAGTTATTGAAGTTTGCTCAGAATTTTATACTTGATGTGTACAAGCAAAGTTCATATAAATTATTTGCTTGGTGGACAATGAAATATGGTATCCTTTCCTGAGCAAGGATATTTATTTTCTTTTTAGATTTATAAAGACAATGTAGTCATTTCTCCCGGTATGTAAATAGTTACCATGGTCATTATTGAATCAATTAAGTTTAAATTATATTAACCATGAAATAAAATATTTTAACCGAATCGATTACATTTTTTGTGTGGAAAACATAGCGCGTAGGGGCGCTCTAACCCTTAAGTATTAATAAAGCGGGGGGATTGGACCCCAATACTGTTGAAGTACAACCAATAACTCAGAGTATGACTCGGATTCTGGAAAACATGAACCCCCTACAGATAGTGAATGGCCAAAAGAGGCCAAAAAAGCAGCAACAACGTTGTGTTCACGAAAGACGTGGATAATCTGTACTTCCCAGTCAAGCTGCAACAATCTTCTATCGACAGCCACCAAGGCGTTGTACGGATTGAAATCGGGAGCTGACCTGATTAATTGGACTGTCGTGGCGGAATCTGTTTGCACTACTACCTTTCTCAGGCCTTGATCCCCAAGCAAGCTTTGACTATGTTTGATCCTGGCTAACTTAGCGTGTGTTATAAACCTCCTCCAAGGTTAATAGCAAAAGCTTTTGCGAAACTCTCATCATCTCTTACACCTGTCTCCGAAATTGCTAGATATATTTTGCACTAATCACTCTAGCCCAAAGAATTCCTGGTTCCGTCATCAGTCTCCATGCAATCTTTATCATAAACTCTTCATACATCCTAGTAGCACTTGAAAATTAATCCCAAACCTCATGCCTCCTTTGGATGATAAATAGTATTCCAGTCAACCAAATTTATCTTCCCACCTTGGTCTGAATTACCCCATATAAATTCGCGGATCTTTCTATCAATATATTATCTCACAGAGATTCAGGTAGGAAGGATGTTTGCATGGTATATGCGGGCAACGAGGACAGGACCGACTGGGCAAGAGTGATGCAAGCCTCCATGGCTAGAGACGACACCTTCCAGCCTGCAAGCCTCGAGTCAATTTGGTCAATGAGTTTTGTGAATGTGGATTTTGATACCCTATCATGGATAACAGGAATCCCCAGATATCATCCAAGATTATGGGTTTCGGGGATATCTAAATCTCCATGCAACACTCTACTCTCCGCTGTTGAACACATTCTTGGAAAAGAAAATTCTAGACTTCGGTTTGCTGACTTGTTGCCCCGAAGCCGCCACAAAATTTTCCAAGCATTGCGTTGTAACCTGAACTTGTTCCAATGAGGCCACACTGAAGAGTAATAAGTCATCCACATAGAACAAGTGAGATAGTGTTGGGCCATGTCGGGATAGCTTAATCGTCTTCCAGGCTCCATTCTCCACTGTCGCAGAAATAAGATCCCCCAATCGCTCCATACATAGTGTAAATATATAAGGGGATAAGGTAAATCTTTGTCGAAGACCTTGGGATTGAAGAAAAGCCTCATATCCATTGTTCTCGCATGGAAAAAATTGGTATTCCACCTCCACTTCAGGTTCCGTTGGAGTCACCGACTTGGTACAATAAAACCTAGATCTCTCGAAATACGTTCCACATTGCAAACATATCTTCTCCAGCCCTTCATATTGAATGAAGTATTTGTTATAACTGTGCTTCTACGGATCGGGAAATCGGAGGATTCGACAAAGCTTGAAAACGAAAAAAACATAAAGCACACGACAAACGATTTACATGGTTCACTAACACAATGTTTGTTAGCTAGTCCACAAACAGGAGAGAGCCAGTTTTCACTATATTAAGGAGATTACAGAGGAGTATGAGAAGGGACTGATATTCCGATTCAAGTCACATCAATAGTATTTCTTCCCATGGATTGTATTGAGATAGTCGTGATGATATCCACTTGAATACACACCCGGGCATAGTTGATGCAAGCTCCCGTGTTTTCGTAGCATGGTCTACCCTGATTGGTTTTCCAGTTCGCCTCCCGACCTTCAAAAATGCTTAAGGGTGGAAATATTATATAAGAATATCCAGCAATCGAGCCCGAACCAGAGTTGAGGAGATCTCATGATTATAAGGATCGAAATGTTTTGTCCAGGGGGTGGCATGTTAAGTAGTTTTCTCCCACCAACCAGGGCCCTCCCGTCATCGCTCGTTCATAATCAATCTCGCTTGTGAAACGTACAAGGAAGTAACCGATTCTTTGTTGAAGTGACTTGGATCGATCTCGCCTTTGCCCAGATAATATTAAGTCTCTTTGCAACCATCGTGTCTGACACAGAGCTGCCCAGCATATTAAGTCTCTTTGCAACCTCGGCTGTTGAGTAATAGATAGGTGGACATGTGGGATCCCCTTCCGCCTCCCAGCCTGCATCCGACCCATCCTCACGCATCACTTCATCCAGTGGCGGAGCCAGAAATCTGAATGAGGGGGGCTAAAAAAATTTACGTTCAAAGGTTTGAACCGGCGAGGGGAAGGGCTAAAGTCTTACCACCTACTCTATTATCCAAATTTGCTGTGAAATTTACATGTAAATTTACACAATTTTGAGAGTTGAGGGGAGCTATAGCCCCCCCCTGCCAAGAACGTGGCTCCGCCACTGACTTCAGCCATACCCTCTGAGCCGGAGTCCGCAATATACCATACATTAGTACGAAGCACATCACTGAACAAGAGTCTTGCTGCTCCCCCACCCAAACCCCAGGTGTAAGGATCGTCAATGGGAAATCTGGCGATTTAGATAGCTAATCTAACAGAATTAGTAACGTAGCTATGCGTCTGTTTATTCGGTAAAAGTTATCCAATTACAATTGAGGCACTTCTCTTTATACTCCTGCTTCCACTTTACACGTCACTCTTGCCATCTGTACAGGTTGTTACACTAGGCTGACGGCTGGGGAGCTCGTTTGCGATGTTTGTTTCTGGTTCCCGTTTGGGGCATCCTTCAGCATCTCGTCTTCTGTGTCATTGTTTTCTAGCTGCATCACCGTTGGTTTGGCTCGTTTCTTCGTATGTTGTGATTCTCGATCTGTCTTAGAGTTCGGCGAAGATGGCTCTATGGGTGGATGTCGCTGCCCAGCCATCGTCTCAGCCGGAGGAGGATCCTCGGAGCCTCCATCAGCCAGTGGTGAAGCCATCGCCGACATGAGTCCCGGTGAAACCCTAGTTTTAGTTCGTCAGGTGTCGTCGTTCCTAGGTTTGCGGAGCACTTGTCTCTCCTTCTTTGGTATCCAATTTAATTCACTGAACCGATTACATTAAAACAACAATCAAATTATCAAGCCAAAGTTTTGAGAATTGTGGTAGACATACCACTTAAATTTGAATAGGGATTCGGGTACCATTAAAGTTGCCAAAATGGGCATCCGTCTAGTTTTCTATCCAACCGAAACTTTTAATTACCTTCTTATATCCAAAACTTTTAAAAACTTTCGAAACTATATTTCAACAATTATTATCTAATATAAAAAATAGAAAACCTTCTAAACATACTATTACTAGATTGCTAGTGAATTGTTTTTAATAAAATAGATAAATTAGTAAAAATAATAAACGAATATCAATAAAAAATAATAAATATACGAGAAAATTATTATTATTTAAAATAAATATTGGAAGATCTATTTAAACTTCTAATACAATTAGAAGCACCACTAAAAACAGATAAAGTAGAACCTAATCGATTATCAATACATCAAGACCAAAGAAGGAAAAAATGAAACACAGTAAAAAAGAAATAAACATATTCCGGTAATTGAAAAAAATTAAAATGAAAAGTAACCAAGTAATAACTAATAAGTAAACTATAAAAGTTACGACATTCAGTAACAAATGTGGGGAAAAAAATATGAGAATAGGAATATAATTAAAATTAGTAAATTTAGCTAATATGAAACATCTACAATATAATATTAGATAATTACAAGGATATTTAACATGGAAAATTAGACAACATCAACATGATGTAAGAGAACTAAATCTAACATCCTCATATTATTTATATCGAGACAGAATTCCTAGAATATATTTGCTTCAAGAGATAATTCAATTATTGATAATTGAAAATATTTATATAGATAATTGATTCTAAATTTCCTATTCAAAAACTGATTGGGTGAAGAGAATTCCAGCTAAACAATAAAAATTATGTTTCTCATAAATTCAAAGGATTTTTTTAGAATAAGAAAAGTAGAAGTACTAATTCTTAAATTTAGAAAACATAATATTCTGTTAAATTTAACGGAATGCACTTGATTGTAAACTTAAGTGGTATCGGGTGCACCTATAATTGAGTTCAGCGGCACACGATGCCCTATTCTTACTTAGGTATGGCTTCTCAATTCTCATAATTTAGTGGTACCTGAGTTATTTTACCCCATTAAATTCAAAGGCTTATATATGCATACTTGAAGATTTCAACGTTCTTCATCCTCAATCTGCCTTTAGCAAATCAATCTGACATTTTTATTATGAAGAAATTATGCTGACCAACCAAGCACACCAGTTTTAATTTTCACTTG